ACAGAAGCGAACTAAGTTGCCCTGTGTCTTAGGGCAGAGAAATGCTCATTCTAACAAGGCCAAGTCTCCTGAGTCCAGCACATATTCTCTCTGTGAGCTGCAAGATGCTTAGGAAAATTTCTTTTGGCGTGCCTAAAAGTCAAGAACATGAATGTGGTGTCTGTTTGTTTCTGGACACACGAGGGTGGATTTACAGAGAATTAAACTTTCAATTCCTAGTCACTAAATTCTAAAATTTTCTACCATTAGAGCCAGGAGTAAGCATAATTAATTTAGAAGGAAAGATTCTGTTTTTCTATTTATACATTTTAATCTCATCACATAAGATATCCTGCGTTGCTATCATCTGAGATCACCCTTAAGGGCAGGGCCAGATGACACTGAACCACCTCGGACTCATGGAAGGCCTTCCCCACTCATTTCCTTTTGACAAAACAGCCCCAGTGTCCCAGCCACCCAGGTGTGCTACAGCAGAGGGAGACGGCCTGTGTAAGGTCTCTTCTGAACTTTGGAAATTAAAAGGATAAAAAAAAAAAGTTGGAACGAGGGTGACTAGCTTCTTAGATGCTTGAAAGCTATTTCCACATTCTAGAATGTTCTGTAATTACTCTTAATCTTTTTCAGAGTAGACACAGTCATTTCTCCTCTACTTTTGCCATCGGTTGCTAGGTTTGTTATTAAGATGTCCATCATCTCCTCACCTTCCCTTGAAGCCTCCAGTTCATGGCCCGGCTGTGTGCTCCTTCATCCGAGCCAGATGGATGTGAGAGGGATGGGCTGTGAGGGACCTTTCTCACACATTCTTTGACTCTCCAGAACACCAACCCCCTTTCAGTTTCGTTCCTGTGAAAAGCAGGAGAGCATAGCAGGAAGGGCAGAAACACAAGAAAAAGACGGTGGACTGAAATCTCAAGGTCCAAATCAGGAGCAGAAGGAGAGAGAGCACGAGCAAGGAACTCAGGACCGCGAGGGGGGCACCCACACACTGAGACAATGGGGATGTTCTATCGGAAACTCACCAAGGCCAACTGGCCTGGGTTTGAAAAAGCCTGTGATAAAACCGGACTTGCTGAACATAGCGGACAATGAGGACTAATGAGAAATCAAGAACAATGGCAATGGGTTTTTGATCCTACTGCACGTACTGGCTTTGTGGGAGCCTAGGCAGTTTGGATGCTCAACTTACTAGACCTGGATGGAGGTGGGTGGTCCTTGGACTTCCCACAGGTCAGGGAACCTTGATTGCTCTTTAGGCAAATGAGGAAGGGGGACTTGATCGGGGGAGGGGAACTTGATCGGGGGAGGAGGAGGGAAATGGGAGACAGTGGCGGGGAGGAGGCAGAAATCTTTAATAAATAAATAAATTTAAAAAAAAAAGAAAGAAAATGACCGTAGTTGGTTTGTCTCCATTTCATTGCTTACCAGCTCTGAACTTGGACAGTTTTTAAACACTAAATAGAAACTAAATGATAGCATATATCCCAAGGTTGTTATAAGACATAAGACAATGCCTAATAGGGTCCCTGGCTCACACTGAGGAATGAATTCTGACTCTGACATTACCTGCTGGTATATTTTTATATCTATCTCTCTTTATTTTATTGTACTTCAATGTCTATACTCTTTGTAACACAAGAAAACGTTTTTTTGAGAATCTCAAATATTTGTTATGTTTCATAAAGCCTCTAAGATTGAGATATCAGAGTTAGCCACATATACTGAAGTTAAGTCTACTTGTTTCTTTGCCCCCATGAAAACAAAGATGCTTTGCTTTGGAATAGTTTTCATACACGTAAATGAGTTTTTGCAGTATTTGAAAGTGACCACAGATTTTGCAAAGCAAACTATTTCACCACTGCTTCCTAGTGCCCTGGAAGATGCTAATGTCTGATGAGGAGTGGGAACAGTCAGAGCCTCCTTAAGTCTTACAGTTCCTTCTTAACAATCTCCCAAAGCTCGCCTTCATTTCAAACCCAGTCTGTTTCTCTCTGTCTCTGAGTCCTGCCCTCCTTTGGCCTTGATGGCCTCTCAGACAAGCCCCGTCCTGCTGCCCCTCAAGGTGCCATTACCTGAAACTCAACTCCTTCTGCTCCAAGTTCAATGGAAAAGCAAGCACGCCCTTCCAAAATGACCTTGGCTGTTATAACCAACTGACAGCAAGTGGAGGATAGGCAAGCAGTACAACCAGTGTCTACCAGAGATGCTTTTTCAGAGAGGCCCACCAGCCTGGGCACAGGCAGTGGGGCCTAGAGGGTTCTGGGTACGCCCTCTCTCCCTGCTTCCAGTTCAGAAGACTGACATTGCCCAGCTCTTGTCTGTAGCATCTCAATACCAGGTCTTAGTTCACTTGCATATGAAAAGGGCTCCTGCTTGATAAAATCTTTCTGTGAAATATAAGTCACAGATGGCTAACAAACATTTTATTCATTTATTAATATTATTTATAAATCATATTAATTAATATGATTTGTTGGTTTTATTTATTAATATTCACAGTAGCTTTTTCTCTTTGACTACAAGTCATTTATTAAAATAGCAAAACATCTTTTCATCTGCTCAATAATCTAACATTTATGTTCTGGTGAAAGAGTCACTGCTAATTAATAAACATAGTCGTGGGCCATATGAAATCATGTCAGTCAACACAAGGCTGCATGGGCCACAATGGTTCTGTAAAATTATGAGTTAAGAGAAAGTACTTCATTCGGTATTGATCAGGTTGAGTCAGTCCCTTACATACTTTCAAACTGATAGAAGGCTGTGTTCTTGTCAAAGGTTCTGCAGATATCTTTTGTGGTCAAGGTCGGTTTTAGATATTTTTAAAAAATATGAACAGACAGAAGAAAGAGTTAAATCAGCAAAATCATATTCAGTCCTGTCCATGTAAGGAACAAAAAGATTACTACCGTTTTAAAGTTTTTAGTTTTGCTTTTAATTGTGTGTGTGTGTGTGTGTGTGTGTGTGTGCATATGTGCATGAATGCAAGTGTGAAGTCAGGCAGCAACAGAGTTCAGAAGAATCTGTTAGATTCCCTGGACCTGGAGATGCAGTTAGCTGTGAGTTGCCCTAAGGTGGGTGCTGGGAACTAGACTCAAGTCATCTACAAGAGCAGTACATGCTATTAACCACTGAGCCATCTCTCTAGCTCCAAATATTCCTAATAAAGATGTTGTATAAATTGATAAGAACAAGCAAATGTTATGTAAAGCAAAGATGAAGAATTGAATAGATGAAGCATTTTAAAAGAAACATAACTATAAACATGGGAACATTGCGCTAATTAATGTAAAATTAACACATTTTTCAAGATGACATTCTCTTTCCCTCTCAAAAAAAGTCACCACAAAGCAGGAAGATAAGAGACACAAACACTGTATTGAATGAAACTAGGTGGAGCCAACAACTTAAAGCATAAACTATTGAGCCAGAAAGTAAATGGAGAATTGGGTAATAAAGGTATCTGTGAGAACTTCATTTATTTATGAATGAAGAGAATGAGTGTTTTGGTGGATTAAGAAATAAGTATAAATATTTGACTAAGAAAATAACTATAAATATTTGATGAAATACTAAAAAATTTTTCCTTGATGCGATGCTAGACCTAATATGATAGTTGGAGAAGTGGCACATTTAAGCCTAAATTTCATCTATCACCTTCTCAAAATAAAGAGTCAAGAAAATCATGAGTGAAGCCTGGTGCTTTCTGTGGAAAAAAAAAACAAAACATGTACTTACATGGTCCAATTCCAGTCTACCTCGGTCAGGGCATTAAATGTAGGGTTAGAGGGAATGCCAGTCACCTCCAGTTACCCAGTATTCCCGCCTTTCACTGTGCATATCACAATCTATATGACAGTTTATATGGATTAAATGTATTTATTATATATTTCTTAAGAAATTGTTGTCTAATGTATCTCTACTGTATTCCTAGTACGTAGAACAGAACTTGGCATATTGTAGGTGTTCTACAAAGACTTATTAAATGAAAAATAAAACATTGAACTTACTCTCCACAGGACACTATCCTAAGTGTTTTACAAATGTTGGGCCATAACATCCACAGAACCCTATAAGGTAGCACCATCATTACATTTTATAAATGTAACCAGGAAATAATTGATTTAGCCCCATGCACTTCAGTGCCATGCTCTTCCCCACAGAATATTATCTTAAAATATCAGAGTCATCATCATCTTGCTGGCAAAGAGAAATCCCAGGATGAGTGTGATGTTGCAGAATGTTAAAGCAGCAGGGAGCTGGGTGCGTTAGCGTGTGTGTTTAATCCTAGCACTCGGGCAGCTGGGAATCAGAGACAAGTGAATCTCCGTGAGTCCCAGGCCAGCCTAGTTGACACAATGAGATCCTGGCTCAAAAATCAAAATAAAATAAAAGTCAACAGGTTCATAGTAAAAGAACTGAGCAGAGACAATATACTGGAACAGAGAGGTGTCATGCATTTGCATCAAAATGCTCAGAAATACACACAATTTAGTACACATTGCTAGGTGGTGGGGAAACGGGAAATTCATACTTCAATGTTCTTAATATCATTTTATAGTTTTAACAATGTGTATTATTTACTTGTGGGATGATTTAAAACGCTTCCATGTTTAAAAACCATAGCCCAAACAAAATATAATTTGTTAAAAGTTCAAAGAGCTTGTCAAAAGCAAGTGTGTTGCCTGTGAAAATAGATATGAGCACTAGGTCTCTTTGGTCTAAAATACAAATCCAATGAAAAAAAATAAAGTGTATTTCTAAATTCATAAAGAATGTATACAAAGTTGATGTAGAATTGTTCACAAAGTCAAGATTGTTAAAAGTAAGGCTTATAAAAAAAGCTCAGAAAAGGTAATATACATAAAATATTGAATACTTTAAAGAATTCACTTAACAAGGGCTATATGTCTAATGTTCTACCCGATTATGCCTGCATATTTGGAATGGCAAGTTCTTATATTTTGACAATTTGTCTTAATTTACCATCCTTTCCTCCTTAGGTACCAGCAAAAGTCAGACACCTTACTCAACAACTGCCCTGCCACCACCGCCAACGTCCCATCCAGGCAGCCAGCCACCACCGCCTATGTCCCATCCAGCCATCCAGCCACCACTGCCAGCGTCTCACCCAACACAGCCGCCAGTCCCAAGCCTACCCCCCAGAAACATTAAGCCTCCCCTTGACCTGAAGTAAGTAAAGGATCATCTTACAATATTTCCTCGCCAGGGATTTCCAAATGATTCATGACTGGGCACTAAGAGTTCTGTGGTACATTAGTGGGCAGTTGGCAGGAAGAAGGGCAGGCTCTTTTAAAAGTTCAAAATCTCTCAACCGTTGGCTTCTGTAAAAGTCAAAATTAAGTTGCATGCTTTCTTACTTCAAGAGCGAAGAACCAGGGTACCGTCACAATCTGAACAAAGCAAAACCAAACTCCGACAGTATAAATAAGTCAGTGTCCAATTGTCTGTGATTCACTCGTGATCTCTGGGCCAAGGGGCTTGGGTCATTTCTCCAGCTCGGCCCTCTGCAGAACACAGAGCTTGTCTTCTAGGCTCCAGCTGCTGCTGCTAGCCTTGGGAGTCATCTCCTGACACTGGCATCTCCGTAACCGCTAGGGTCCCTTGCTACAAATGGCCTAGCAGTGGCCTTTCCTGAGCTAGCTTCAGGGACTCCATCCCTGACATGCAGTGCCAGGCATCCGTTAATCTCCGTGACCTCTTCACACCTCCCAAAACGGGCACCATCTGCGTGGCTCTTACACTACCCAGTTCAGCCGCCAACACAAGACACAACCTTGGCCACATCTGGAGCACAGCTTCTGTGTGCTGACTCTCAGGAAACACTTTCCAGAAACCTCAGCGGTGTTGGTCTCTTCTTAATCACTGCAAATTTCTCAGCTGCCGCTGACCAGCGTTGAGTATCTCAGCAAAGCAGAGGTTTCACTTTGATAGTTCTGGTGTCTTATTAAACACAGCAGATTCTTCAGCTCCAGCCAACCAGAACTACAGATTCCTTGCACAAAAAGTTCAGTAGAGTCTTTGCTTTCCTCTGAAACCTCACAAGCCAGGCCTCCATCTTCTGCACTGCTCTCAGCGTTCTTTCCTTCCAAGATCCTACAGAACACTCAATGATTCCCCTAGCCCAAAGTTACAGGGTCCTTCACAATCCCCTTCAAAACAACACGTCCAGGTCCATCACAGCCATACTCTACTATCCTGCTACCAAACTGTTCTTAGGGTTAATATTGTTGTGATGAAACACCATATCCAAAAGCAATGTGGGGGAGAAAGGGTTTATTTCACTCAGAGTTCCACATGACAGTTCATCATCCAACGCAGTGAGAACTCACGCAAGGCAGGAACCCGGAGGCAGGAGCTGATGCAGAGGCCATGGAAGGCAAGCTTACTGGCTGGCTTCTCATGGCTTGTTCAGTCTGCTCTCTTGTAGGACCCAGGACCATCAGCCTAGGGATGGTACCACCTACATCAGACCCTCCCTCATTGATCACTAATTAAGAAAATACCTGCAGCTGGATCTTAAGGAGGAATTTCCTCAATTCATCTCCCTTTTCCTTAGTGATTCTAGCCTGTGCCAAGCTGACACACAACAGTCAGTACAGTGATAGTCTGCTATAAGAGTGTAGTTTGATTTCACCTTAGTCCCCTCCCACACACACCATAAGATTGATCCTTTGTCCATGATCCACATGGTAGAATTTGTTAATTACAAAATCACGTTGAGATCTTCCTTAAGTGCTTGAAGATTCAATATGTTGAAAACCCGCTTATTGTGAGTACCCCTGACTATTTTTCACTTCGTAATGCTTCCAGAGGAGTTTAAAGTCAGTAACTAAGGGTGTGTGAGCAGCATGGTGAGCCTTATCTTCTTCATAGGCTGCTCTGGATGTCTATATAACATTACGCTCTTCTGGGCATTTGAGTCTGTAGATGTCTGCTTGAAGGCTCTAACCCCCTGGGAGATTCCGCTACCTACCAAATCAAAGTGTAAGACATCTGCTTACTATCATATTAAGGCTAAATAAATATTAGACTAATTAAAATAACCAATAAATGTTCTCTCAAATACTTAATTTTCATATAACTTATTTCTTTCTACACATATAAAAATCATATTTCTTCTTCCTAATATCGTTTTACCCTCTGGTAAATTTAACTCATTGAATTTAGATCTCAGAATTTCCTTTTCATGTGTTTATTTTTATTGTACTTTTTACTTTTTTGTTTTCTTTTGTCTGTACAAACCCTCACTGTGCATCCCTGGCTGACCTAGAACTCACTACGTAGCCCAGGGTGGCTTTGATCTTATGAATGTACTGCTGCCTCTGCCTCTCAAGTCCTGAGATAGCAGGCTTGTGCCTCCACACTGAACCCACAATCCTAACACTTCTCAAGTTTACTATATAGGTAGCTCTGTCCTAGACACCAGCTTCAGTGAAGCCTCGGAGTAAGGCGTAGTTTTAGTATGAAATCTTCACAAATGGCTCAAACCTGACTTCTGAAAATTGGTAAGGCTTGGAGCCCAGTCATCATTTCATTCTGGACATTAAGGGGTGGAAAGGTATCTGACACTCTGTCCGCTGCTTCAGGGCCTCCAGACTTCCCGTGTGTCTAATAGCTCACTAGAAGGACTCACAGTCCTCAGCTTACAGTAACTGGAGAGACTGGGATTCAATGCGGTAAAAAAAAAAAAAAAAGAGGAAGGGACAGCCAGCAGGTGGCACTGTCTAATCAGGGCTTCCCCACAGAGAGCATAGCTGTGAAACTGCAGTGGGTGTCTCAGGCAGACTCCAGCAGAAGCTGGCCAGAGGCTGGAGAAACTGAAAGGTTTCCACAGGGAGCAAGGGAGCTGTCTCGCTGGTTCCTTAGGCCTGCCAGAAACCTAGAAAGAAAGCAAGCATCCACATCAATCACGTGGTTGCTAAGGTCTCACAGAGCAGAACACTTTGATCCACTGGGCCACTCCCATTGCAGCGAACAGTTGTAGAGAAAATGCTTCTTGTTTATAAGTCACAGGCCAGCCGTGGTAGCATCTTTCTAAAGCAAGGCAAATCTGAGCCTCCTGTGTTAACTCTCAAAAAAAAAAAAAAAAATCTCATCCCCGGAATCCACCAGAAGGCTCTTAAACAGGCTGTGGGAAGAAGAGGGCATTTCAAAGGCAGTGCTATAGCGGGGGATGCTGGGCGACATGCCAGCTTTGCAAGGAATCACCAAGAAGACCAAGGGTTTGGATTCTTAGAGGGGATAGTGTTGCCTTCAGTCATTTACAAAGTTCACTGACGGTAATACATTTTGCTTCATTTCAATTCCCACCATATTAGGGACTCCTCTTAGTTGGTGACTCGTACATGATCTGCCAACTTCATTTTTAAACATCCGCTTAAAAGAAAAATGAAATAGATAAAAGGGCCTTGGGTGTTTCACATTACGTGGAAAATCTATGCTTGGAATATCAGGAAGCTAATTGTCACATGCAGGACAAAGCGTGAAAGCTAAGGATATCCAGAACAAATTTGTTCCTCCAAAAGAGAAAGGGTCAACAGTTTTAAAGTTCCCATCAGTAAATTCCGCAAGGAGGAAATATCTAGATTAGAAAATTTCCCCCGTAGAAGGGGAAGTTAGATAAATACATAGAGGAAACGAAAGCAGAATGGACATTCATGTTCGGGCTTAAGGGTTTACGGGACGTGTATGGATTGGACTGGGGGCAGAAAAGTAGAAGGCGCAGGTCTTCTGATGAATGTCTCCCTGATGCTTCCCGAGTGTTGCTCTGCAGGTCTGTAACCACTCTCCTCCTAAGCAAAATCCACTCTCAAGATCTCCTAGGCTTTTAAGATAGTCACTCAGCACATCTTTGAGTCACTCCTCTGGGATCTTTCAACTGAGCTCCAGGGAAAATCGTGTGCAAAACAGAGGCCCCTCCCTGCCTTTATAGAAAGCAAGGGCCAGAGAAAGAGAAGCAGTCGCACAGGTAAAAGACAGGGCAGTGGTCAGCAGAGCAGAGTTAGGAAGGCCGGGAGGGGGGATTCCAGACCACAGATGGCTATACAGAACTGTGAGGTATCAAAGATGCAAGGAAACATGGGCATGAGACCGAACGCTGTGGGGGAGAGAGAAGGAATAGAGGCCTCGAAGACCCAAAGGCTAAGGAGAAGGTCAGCAGGACACTAGAGACAGCCAGAGAAGAGGAGATTGGAGAGGAGTCAGCTCACGGAGGGCTCCATGCATTGTGATCGTCTGTGACCATCACCCTATCTGAGATGAGGACCCCTGTGGGCTGGAGCACAGCATCTCCAGGCTTTTTGACTTGTGTTTTTGTTAAAGTCACTTAAAGTAGATGTGCAAGGGTAGCAGCAGAACCAGTTAAATGTTGCAGAAATGCAGGCCAGACACTGAGGCATTCTAACCAAGATGGGCTGCTCTTGGTGGGGGGGGGGGGGGGGGGGTATTAAGAAATGTCTGCACTGTGGATAACTGTTCAGGGGAGCGACAGCAGAAGTTGGACTTAGTTATAAAACTCACGTTAAGGATCACATGTGGCTCCAACGCCTTTGGTCTTAGCAACTGGAAAGGCTATGATTCCTTCAAATGACAGAAGGAGGCTGCAGGTGAGGTGTTTGAGAGGAAGTAAGTTCTGACTGGGAAGTGGGGAGATCGCTCTATAGTTAAGAACACTTGCTGCTTGTGGAAGAGGAAGTGGGCTCACTTCCCAGCAGCCATGTGGTGGCTTGCAGACATTCATTTCCCAGGTCTCCAACAGTCAGGCACATTGTCTATACACATGCATGCTGGTAAAGCATCTATATAAAGTAAAATGAATATATCTAAAAGGTCTTTGTTAAAGCGGTTGTGGCTCTGATAACCCTGGAATATTATTTAAAGTTCAAGGGGAACACCGAGAAGACAATTGGAGAGTTGAAAATGGAGAGCTTCAAAGAGAGTTCTGGTAAAGACACAGAGAGGAGAGACATCGGACTTTGTCTCACTCTTAAAGTGATAAGGCTGGTCAAAGTTGGCCAAGGAGAGAAGGAAGGAGTACAAAGAGAAAAGACAAAACTCGGAGTCTGGCCTGTGTTGGGGAAACGGAGACAAAGGAGATAAAGAGGAAGGAGGAATAAAGTAAGCGAACTGAGGGACCAAAAGTGGGGCTGGTGAGCAAGTGCCTCAGATGC